CATACAGACATACATACACACATACATACACACATGCATACACACATACATACACACATACTTACACACATTCATACACACATTCATACATACATACATACATACATACATACATACATACATACATACAGGTCTATATAATGTCGTTATGCATATTTCGCTGGGATAGACGTATCTATACACATATATATATATATATGTAGGTATGTATGTATGTATGATGTATGTGTGTATATTTTTTTGTAAATACATAAATACATGTCGTGTTTGAGTGCCTTTTGCGAAAGCCTGCCAGCGTAATGTTGCCTCCATTGCCAACGGCCACCATGGTCCCATTCGGCGCGGCGGCGGCGGCCACCGTTCGGCATTGCTAGGTGCTGGGACGACCACCTACCTTTCAGCAAGACTGTGTGGGACCTTTGTCGCACAACCTGGAGCCTCAGGTCGAACGCCTTCTGTTTTGTTTCAGATGGACTGGCAAGCCGAATTTCCAGACGGTTTACAAACCCCAATCGATCTCTGTATTCGGCACAGGGTTCAGGTATCAGGGCCAAGGGAACAGGGTTTGCTCGTAAGTTGTTACAGCCAGCACTTCAGCACCTGACATTTGCTTCGGGTGTTCCCTCATCGCAGGCTGCCGAAGTCTCGCAGGGCTGGGTGCGGCGGGGGCCCTGAGATCAGGTTACAGTCACCCAGCGGACTCTGAAGTGTTAAAGGGGGCGCGAAAGGCCCCTTGGTTCAGTTTTCCCATCACCTTCAAGCGGGAGCGAGAACGTGCAGTGGGTTTCTACCGGGTCTTATGGCGGGAAACCGAACATTGGGATTAGGGCTAGGATTTTTGGGCATGCTACCCGGGGTTTGGCGTTGACAGGTTACGGGATGGTGTTGGGCTTGGGGCCTAGCCTCACCTTCGATTTGCCTTTAACCTATAAATTCTGCCGCACCAAGCCTCGTCCAAAGCTTTAGAGGCCCGTCTTCAAGCATCGTGCCCAAACCCTGAACGACCCTTGCACCCAACAGACCCGAGAAGCTCCAACAGCTCTCAACCCAAAAGGCCCCTAAGGGTTGTTATGAGTTCGATCTACTGGGAATCCTGGGAAAGCCCATACCCCTATCCAGCTAACTAGTCTAACCCAACTATATCTTTATCTATATCTATATAGCAGATAGCATCACAAGCTAGCAAACTACACGACCATGAGCCCAGTAAGCACTTTGACCCAACCCTAAGCCCGGATCCCTCAACCCTAAACTCGTTTTCAGGCTCTCGGACGCCGACCGAAAGAGGCTCGACGTCTCCGAGGACTGCGGTGCTTGGGTTCGGGGCCCCGGAGGAGTCGCAAGATCTTCCGAGGGCTTGAGGCTTCGGGCTCTAGGGTTTAGCGGCTTCGTGCGGTATGAAGAGTCCTACAAGTATAAGGGTCTCGGTAGGGCTAGGCTTGAAGGGTGGGGTGGGTCTAGCAGTGCATAGAGGCTTTTTCTATCGATCTACAGGGCTTGCATAGGGGACGTTTGCACTAAGACAAACACCGTCGGATGTTGGGATCAAAAGCGGGTCAGAGGGACCGCTGGGATTCAGGAGTACGGTCCCTAGCGCACTAGCTCTAATCATGGCAGCGCCTCAGTTGGGGATTTAGGATTTGTCGCAGTTTGCGAGAAGTCGTATTGCATAGACTTGGAGTGGGCCTTTGTGGCTGAGCAACGACATCTGGCATTTCGGCACATGGTCCGACACAGGAGTGCATGACTAAATGATTCAGTTGATCATGATCTGAGCCGCCGCAAGACCTACAGAATTGTAGGGAATTGGCTCTTAAGACTTAGAGCAGGTGTCCAGGCCGGAGGAAAAAGAGACAAGTAAGAAACACAAAACACGAGCCATGCGAAAGCTGAGCCCTACTGTAGGTCCTGATCAACGGTCACGAGAAGGGCTTGGGGCGCTTGCTCGCTGCCTCTCCTCCGCCAGTCCCCGAGCATTTGTGCATTTCCCATAGGCCCCATAGTAGTTTCTTGTTGTGCCTTATGTTTAGGATCCTATTCGGTAATCCCAAAAAGGAACTGCTATGGGGCCTACGGGTACGCTGAGGATCAGCAATTCGGGGGGTCTCTGCTTCTGGCAAGAGCTGGTGAGACGAAGCGGGAAGAGATGGACGGCTTCGATTCGCTGTGTTTTTGTCAACAGCCCTGCGTTTCAACCGCCGTCGCCACAGAGCACAGCACCCCTGAGCTCCTTCTCAGAGACTCCAATATCCCTTAATTAAGGAATATACCTTAAATCATATTAGGGATCCTACGATAATTTAGGGTATATTCCTTAATTAAGGGATATTGTAGTCTCTGGGTTCCCAGGCCACCGGAGCAGCTGGCGCCACTGGAGGAAGCCTAGGTTCCCATTTTAGGAGCTTCCGCAGAGAGCCGCTGGGGAAATGGCGCTTGCCCCCTGAATCTCTAAGTGCCTCAGGGCCTCTGAGGTACGGGTGTTCCATGGTTCCGGAGTGTCGGGCTTTTTTCTGCCCCTGGTAGGCTTGTGGGTTTTATAGGGTTTTGCAGGCTCATCTCTTGACTCCACCACCTCCCTGCGCAGCCGACTGGCCTCAGACGGAGAGTTCTATTCGTGGCCTCGATGTCGGCAGAAGAGAATGCGCCCGAAAGGCCTGATGCCGAGGCCAGATGTGGCTGAAGAGAGTGATGGTAGGCAATGCTTGCGGTTGCCCTGCACCCCCTAAACCCTAAGCCATGCTAAACCCAAGCCGAAGAAGAAAGGGAACCCGCAATCCGATAGAATCCGATTGAAGCTCTAGAAACCAGAAGCCCTAAACCCTTGCAGCCGCCTCCTTGCAATTCAACACTGCATGAGGACTGGCAGCCGGTCCTGTCCTTTGACGAAGCCTTTGGAGACGAGACTGGAGACAATGCGACTTGTTTTTCAACCCTAAATAAACCCTACACCGATGTTTCTC